GTAGCTATTTTCCCTCAGTGAGAGCTAGTCTGTACCCAAACAGTAGCCATTTTCCCTCAGTGAGAGCTAGTCTGTACCCAAACAATGGCCGTTTTCCCTCGGTGAGAGCTAGTCTGTCCCCAAACAGTAGCGACTCAGCTAGCTGTTCCCAAACAGTAGCGACTCAGCTAGCTGTCCCCAAACATTAGCTATTTTCGACTGCACGGCCCCCGTCCATAGCGACATTCAGCTAGACTGTCCCCATACGGTAGCTGTCTAGTAGCATGGAGGGGCTCACACCACCGTCCAAGCTGTGTGGGTGTGGAAAGAAAATTTCCTGGGCGGATACCCACTCCACCTGCTCAGCGTGCCTCGGGAATTTACACCAGACAGGCGATGGAGTATGTGAAGGAGTCAAAGTGTGTGTTGGGTTATATGTTATATGCTGTTTACTTTTCATTTTTTATATTTTTCACTGGGATGTGGTGTCAGTGGAGCAGAGAGACGCTACTGGTATGTATCTCACTCCATTCTCCCACTTATGTTCTAGTAAAGCATGAAATGAGATTGATGATACTGATCTGAATTTTTAATTTAATTTTCTAAGACTAAGTCTAAGATAGAGAACTAAACATGATTGCATGTGTGACTATGGTTCACGGTGGAACTAATTTCTGTTGTTTGTTTTCTCTTTGAGGTTGTCAACCTGCTTATGATTCAACAGAAAGTGACAAAAGTCAAATAAAAGAAATTATTAAGTTGATTTGAGTTGTTTCCTGCGTCCTCTGTCCCAAGCCTGGTCGATTTCAGGCAGACAAACCCCATAATAACTCGACAGTGTGTTTATGTGTCTCCGCACCCTTTTAGTATCAGGTCCATATAAGCTCCGGTCACCAGACTCTCTGCTAGCTGGTCTACAGTTTGGATGTTACAGCACCCACACTGGCTCACAGGGTTCTTCACATGGGTTCTGCAACAGGTATAGGGCTATCTTTTGATACCAGGTCCTTGAGGTATGCTTTTCTGGCAATACGGGAGTCTCTATATCCCATAGTGAGATACTGAAACGAATGTTGAAAGAGAAGTTTAAGTTAAGAAATTAACCCCGGTTCTCTGAAACATGAGTGAGGAATCTCACCAGATCACCCTCCTTGCCTTGGAGTGAGGAAGAGGTGTGTTTTTGCTCAGACTGGGGGCGTGTCCCATAGTGAGAAACCTCACTCATGTTTCAGAGAACCGGGGTTCATTTCTTAACCTAAAGTTATTCCAGTTGTTCCACAGATTTCAGATGTGTTTCGACAAATTAAACAAAGTGAAAGAGGAGTTTGTCAGCAGGATTTTCATGACGCAGGAATTGACACCAGAGAGGTGATGGAGCATGTGAAGGATTTAAAGTGTGTTTGTTATGTGTCTTTGCACCCCTTTAGTATCAGGTCCATATAAGCTCCGGTCACCAGACTCTCTGCAGACACGCCCAGCTGCTCCATCAGGTCTGTGGCCACCTGAATAAAGAGGATAATTCACTGTCAACTGTAGAAGTCAATATGAAAGAGTCTAAACATGTATCTGAATTTAACTAAATTAAAAAAGACTTGAACAATATTGTAACTGTTCCATTTGATTCAGATTTCCAAATTTTTACATTGGAGGCTGTTTGGGAAATCAATATATGTATAATCACTTTCTTAATTTCTCTCTGGTAACTTTCCACAATTGAAGATTTTATATAAAATACACCATGATTTGATGAAGTTTTCCCTTTTAATATATTTCTATTTCTTACTTCCTCATATGGTCTCAGACTTTTGCTTTAAAATAAAATACCAAATCAGTTTGGCTGGTTTCTTTGAGACCTTGAAGGAGGAAAGAACCTTTAAATTCTTCAATTGTGGAAAGTCACCTGAGAGAAATTAAGAAAGTGATTATACATATATTGATTTCCCTAACAGAGGCTGAACGGTTGAACCTACCTGCTGTCCCTCTTCAACAGTCTGCTCTGGTCGCATCACCACCTAAACAGAGAACCACCGATCATTCAGATGTCAGGTCAGATATCAGCATCAATCTTCACAACTGATCCGCACCTGTTATTCTGATTTCCAGCTCTGTGAACTCTCTGTCTGAGCTGAGAAGTCTCTCAATGCTTCAGAGGAACTGTGAGAACTACAATTACTGCAGCATGGATCAGCTACTGGATCAGCTCCCAGCTGAGACGGGCACTTGATTAAATTATGCCCATGTTAAATTCCAATTAATCATGTTAGTCAGTGTTGCCTGTGTCTTATTTAAGAGATGGATGAATAAAATCATTACAGCTCTGGACCGTTTTCATCTGCTATTTATCCGAGTGGAGACGGATGAGATAGTTTTTTTGGGTAAAACTATTTATAGAAACTACTATATTTATTATTTTTTATTACCCTTTTCGGTATACACTCATTTCATCGCAATGAGTAAGAATCATCAAACCAGCAGAAAAAAAGAACTTATTTTTTTGTTTGCAAATGCTGAAGAAATATTAAGCAGAGCCTAAAAACTAAGTGATTGAGAGCTGTGTTTTTCAGGGTGTGTGTTTGTATGTGCTGACCTCCAGCTCCATGTAGTGCCCCAGTCCCTCCACCGTGTCCAGATGGACTCTGGTCTGACCAATAAGGAACAGCCGTCGCTCCTTCCTCACCTCTCCTTTCACCCCCAGAGACTCCGACAGCACAGTCTGCACGTGCACACATACGTACACATAAGTTTTATCATTAATCATCATGATCCTCACCATCATTAATCCCCAACAGGCCACTGGCTCACCCGAAGGCTCGATGGGTCACTGGTGGGACTGATGGAGTAACGAGACAGTTTGGGTCCATCAGTGTCTGGACGCTCATAGAAGATCAACTGACCAGATCCATTCTACAAAAATACAAATAAAAAAAAACATAATACAAACACAAGTTGTTCTTCAGAACCATTTTCTTGACACCATGTCTAGATAGATAGATGTCTAGATGTCTAGATGTCTAGATAGATAGATAGATAGATAGATAGATAGATAGATAGATAGATAGATAGATAGATAGATAGATAGATAGATAGATAGATAGATATTTTAACTGAAGTAGAAACTGCAGTATGGTGTCAAATTGTTTTAACTCACAATGTTACCAAACTTACGGATAACCTTTAAGTTCTGCTGATGCGTCTCTTATTACCATTAAGTCTCGGAGCTTCAGGCGTCCTCGATTGCAGGTGAAGAACGTGTCGTGCTGCTGGATGATCGTTCCTTCTGACTGGCTGAGCTGAGCAGCTTTCTGGGCAAATGCTGCCGGGTTGCTCACTTTTGCTTTGATTTCCACATTGGACAGCATTGCTCTACGAAGCATGTACAGAGTGAGGAGAAAAGGAGGTTAGACAGGGTCAAGGGGAAACTTTACATTGCATATAATAATCTGAATAATAAGCAGTTCCACAAATACTCTTTTGGGCTAAACGCCATAATCAAACATCTTAGCTATTTTCTTTATAGATGCTTCTCAAGCAGATTAATTAAATTTGTTGCAGATTAAAGTCTCTGATGAAAAATAAACGTTAAGTCTTTTCTTGTTCTTACATGGGACTTTCACTGAATACTGCAATACCCAGTGTGTTATCAGTAGTGTTATGGGTAGAGGTACAAAAAAAAATGTAATCCTCCAAATCCAGCACCTAAATGAACTGATGAGCTTATAAAATGGGGCAATGGGGTGCAATAAAAAAGCAGCAGGATATCATATAAAACTTGATGAGAAAAACCTGAACTCAATGCAATTCCATTAAATTTTATTTATGTAGAGCCAGATCACAACTGTGACTATTCATGGGTTAATATTCTAACATAAAAATGAGTATCAACATTACATTATTTTCATTTACAACCTTAGATCAATAACCTCGATTTAATCTAGTTTGACAGCTCAATAACGACCCGAAAGAAATTCTTTCAATTTACAACGTTTATCACTGTTTGACCCAAACAAAGATGGCGACCAAACAACTCTAGTCAAAACCTAGAACCATTAGCTGTTTAATACATGCGTGCCACGAAAGATGAATGTCAAATTTGATCCTTGTGGTGTTTTAAAATGCCCCTACTTCTTACCAATGATAATGTTTCTGCTGCTGTTTCGACGGCAACTCAACGCTTGATTTTACCGCGAAACCCTCCCTCAGAAGGAGGAGCTGTGGTACCGCTATGATAACGGACACATGTTGCCAGATCTCGCGAGAGAAACAAGCACCCAGTTAATCCAAATAGACCAAAACATTGGGTCGTTTGTATACATTAAAAGTGTATACGTTTATTATGGTATTGTGCATAAGCAACAGAACAATTATGCTAAACACTTTTAACGGAATAATGTATAATATACTCAATAGTTTGAGCAGGGGCATGTATATCCATAGACATGTGTATAACAGCCCCAAGTCTGAAATAATCTGTTCATGCACCTGTAGGGAGAACAAACTGTAACTAATGTTACCGTGTTTTACATTTTTGTATTTCTTCCATGATGGACAATCACTCCTGTGAGTTTGGGGATATTTGCTTCTTTCTAAGGTTACTTGGCTAGCTAAGTTTAGGAAGTAGACATTAAAATGGGACAGTAAATAATCTGGATGTGAACACAAGGGACAAAGGTTAAATTATTTGAAGATGCAGGCAAATGTGAAGAAGAGAGTAGAAGGATTTTCAATTGATAAAGATGCAAGTAACAACCAATGCCCATTTCAACACAGAGATAAACTGTTCTTATAACATAGCTTCAAAATCAAATGCAGAACACTGTACTCAAAAGTTAATCAGAAAAACATGGACAAAAAAAACAAAAATGTGTGGTGAAGCTTGAATTAGATTTACCATAGGGTAAAAATGTGAAAAAACAAATTTTAAAAAATTCTTGACTAAAGTCAAATGTAGGTTTAAAGCAAAGTATTAGGAAAGTCTAAGGTTAATAAATGTTAAATAAAATCCTTTGGGCCGTTTTAAAGGCCCAATAGATTTAAAGGCTCTAGTTTAAAAAGTGAAGCTCTGAATGCTATGAAAGTCAAACATGAGAGACAAGTTTTCCAACATTTTTCTCTTAAAATATATCTATTTTTAGTAAACTTTGAAGAAACTCAAAGTTTCTGAATAACTTTAAGGATTAATAAATAAAAGAAAAACGGGAAAACATATATAGTAAACTTATATCATACTCACAATTTAAATAGATGCTAACGTTAGCCGCCGCTAACCGCTAGCCTCACGCAGCTGTCACGTGCAACCTTTGATGATTATTGGAATTCAAATTAACTTAAAAGTCCTAAAGACACGTTACATTATCCCATATGCATTTTAAAGTCCCCCAAAAGTATACACCAGCTACCTACACTATAATTTAGTTTACCAGCTCCGTAACTGAAAAACTACACTAATTCAATTTCGAATTAAAGCTATTTTAGCTTAATAAGCGAACCAAACAAAGATGGCAACCAAACAACCGCAGTTAAAATACATAAATGAATGCTTAAACAATTAGCAGTTTAATACATGCATGACAAGAAAGTAAAATTATTTTAGCTTTTTTTACCTTATGTCTTAACTTGAAGTAATTGATAATAACAAACAAATGTCACCACAGTTTGGAGGTGGAGTTGGTCCTGGTTAAACTGGCAGCTGGTTGTAACACTTCAATTTGACCACAAGATGGCGGTAATACACAGAGCTGATTGCTAAGCGCCTCTAAAACAACGTAAAGAGACGCACTTTCCCACAATTAAGCTTAAAACTGCAGCTGAGGTCGCTTTTTGTGGTTCTCCTTCAGAAACCCTAACAAAATTATTCCGTACAAATGTTTCCAAACAAATTCAGCATGCCAAAAAATGTAAAACAACTATTGTGTGTCATTTTAGGTGGAAAAAAACAGTGCGCAACAGTTTGTGACAGATGCAGCAACCTGTTAAAATTAAGGAGAATAGCAAACGGACTGATAGATAAAGTGCTGTGTTTTTCCTCCACAGGTGTCAGCTGAGTGGGTTCAGGTGTCTGGGTAAGATGCAACCTGTTTCTCCCTTTGAAGTTTCTTTTTTTGGGAAGATCCAACTCGTTGGAGGCCTCATCTTAAAATCAGGACATGCTGGAGGGATTGAATATTCCCTTTGGCCTGGGTGCAATTTGGCTTAAAACAGGAGGAGCTAAAGAGTGTCCTTGAGGAGGAGGAAGACTGGCTAAACCTGATGTCAGATTAGAGTTAGATAACGGACAGATTGATTGATTGCTTCAAACATCTATTAAGACATTTGCATTCATTCGAAAGCATGAATTCCTAGAACCAACAAAAAAGACCCAAATATCGGGAACTGTGATTGGCTGCTTCCACGCGCTGCTGTCACTGATGGTGTTTCTGTTTATATGTGTTTACCTCCACAGCAGCCTACGCCAACAGATGCCGCTGAAACCTGACCACATTTAGCCCGCCGCCTCATCAATATAACTCAGAGGAGCGCGTGCCCGTGTGTGGGTCTGTGTGTGTGTGTGTGTGTGTGTGTGTGTGTGTGCTGCATTACTGGGCAACTTGACATCACCATGGTGGAGAGAGGTGAGGAGTAGGAGAGCGCCACAGAGGGAGAGCGAGAGCGGGGTGGGTGGCTTCGGTGGGGCTGAACAGAACAGAAGAACACTGGTGAAAAGCAGCAAAACAAAGAGGTTTTCTGGAAGTACGACAGTTTACAGCCATCATCTGGATTCTCTTTTTGTGACATCTGGATAAATATCCAGGGATTAACTTGAAAATTAGGAGTTTTGGATGAGTGGAGGGTGTGTCGGAGCCCCCTGGACCAGGTCTCCTCCGTTTGGACGGCATCAGGATGACCGTCACGTATTCCAGTAAAGTAGCCAACGCCACTTTCCTGAGTTTCCATCGGCTGCTGCTGCGCTGGAGGGGGAGCATCTACAAGCTTCTGTACCGGGAGTTTATCCTGTTTGCTCTGCTCTACACCGTCCTCAGCATCGTGTACAGGTCACCTCCACTCACACAAACACCAAATCCTGGCTGATGCCCAGAGCTGAGCAGCTCTTCGTGAGGCAAAATCTTTCAAATCATGTTCTGTATGGTACTTTTAAAAGAAAAAAGTCTGGAAATGGATCACTGGAGTTATTG